AATAAACTAGTTTAGAGATACAACATTTTGGTCCTTAGACCATTCAATCAGTCCCACAGTCAGTGTGCATTTAGCCAGTTAGAGGCAAATCTCGCCATAGAAAACTGGACATTCTCTTTTTTTTGTATTACCTCTGTCGAGGTTCCAAGTGAGCTAAGTCGACACCAAAAGGTGACGTGAAAACACAGCAGACTACGTATTGGTCAGACAGATCCCCGTCTGGTGCGCGCAGTTTTATGAAAATTGATAGCGGATCGAAAATGTGCTCAAACGTTTTCGGAGTTGAGAAGTCCACAAGTGCCAGCCGGGCAGTCGCACTCACACAGACCAATGCAGCCAACACAGCAGACAACTCCCACAACAACGGCATAGGAAAGGCACACAGTTGAGTAATGCTGAAACGTTAAATCAGGTGACATCTGGTGCCTGTGGGTCGCATGTGTGTCGCACAGAACAGAAATGCCTACAAACCCTTGTACGAGCCCACAGTATGAAAAATAAGAGTGAGAAAGTAAAGATAAGAATACGAAAATGTTCTTGCTTGAGGCCCAGAGATCCAAAATCTTCCCATCTCTTCAGTAACAGGACACGGTCACAACCTCTAGGTGGCACCTTAAAGTAGCAGAAGGGAATTATTGAAAAAATAACTTTTTATCCTATTTGCTAACACTGTCACAATAGCCTGACAGTAGCACATGAGATAATCTGTCATTTTCTTGATGGCATTTGCAAGAATCCACCACACTGGGACAAAACAACCAATCAGAGCCAGGAGCAGTCTCTAATGCGGTGTCACTCACTGCTGGTGCACCCGCTGCGTGGGGAATAACGTTTGAGGGGAGACAGGGGTACAGTAGCCTCTAAACCCACTCTTAAATGTTTTCATAGCTTTCCCTGAAGCCTGGGGCACTCTGCCCTGAGCCGCGAAGCACTGGAGGGGTGTTGAGAAGACGAGTCGAAGTGAGAGGCACCGTAGTCTTGGCGAGACTCTCGCAAACAAAACTGCAGAGCAATCCAAAATCTATCTAAATGTATCAACACACAGCACAGCTGATGAAAGAGCTGGTCTATCCTCTGTTGAACCAAACTGTACAAATAAGTGTGAGGTGACAGAAGATAATGTATACTCTAAACTGGAGGCTTCGAATAGCCTTTTGTTTTGTGGACTGCAAACATAATGGATATTCCCTTTGACAGACCAATGGAGCTGAGAATGAGAATCAGTCCATCTGATAATTGTTTTGCGGTTTGAGGTGCATGCCTGAGTAGCTGCCTTTATATCAGTACATAGGTGTTATTTCCCACATTTTGACGAATTTATGTGTTTGCTTTGTTGAAACTTTGTTCTACTGTTATTGCAGTTTCATTTTGCATCAAATAATGCAGGAAAGAATTGCTGTCAGGCAAGCATGGATAAACAAATTAAGCCTTCCACCATCAGATGATTAGGAATGGATGTTGGTTTGTCAGTTTGTTGTTATTGAAAATGAAGGCTCTGGGCCTTGTACCTATTTGTAATGGAGCTGTCAGGTCTCACACAGATTACAGTTTTTTAAGACAGGAGAACAGTAACGATTGCTTCTGGGAAGGTAGGTAGGCTGCACAGCTTATGTAACCTTCCCTTTAGAGGCAAGTGCCAGGAAAGACTGACAGAGGGGAAACGTGAGAGACAGAAATACAGAAAACAGATGGGAATCCCTGCCTTCTGTGTAACTCTAATGAAAGTGTGGCTGGCAATTTCAACCACCAGTGCTTTCACACTATCAGCAATGAGCTCATCTCTTGCTTTATTTGCACCTAGTGGAAGGTGTAAAAACTCGGTTTCACTTGGCTTTTCCTCTGACTGGTGTCGCCTCACTGAGACTCAATAAGTCCCCCTTTTAACTCAGCTACACGTTAGGGAGAAACCTAATGCAGACAGATCTGCCAAGCACTCATCCATGGGTCGCTCCGGATTTAGTGATCAGGTGCATTCTCTGGCTCTTGGTAAACAGGAGAAGTGACAGATGCCAACACCTGCCAGAACACCTGTCACTGTACCAGCATTGGCATCATTACTGAGGAAGAGACAATTGCAACTGTAACCCAGGAATGTTTTCAATTCATAAAGCATGACAGTATCAGATTTCAAATATGGTAATTTCTAATGTTATTGTAACTTCTACCTTTCTGCAATAGCATATGTATTATTCCAAATTGTGCTAATATAAGAAATTGGCTACACACACACACACACACACACACACACAAGCTTCAAGATACTTAAACATATGTCAGCTTTTAAATTGCCTGGACATCGCCCCCACCTTTTAACAGAAATATAAATCCCCAATGTAATTATCCAGCACCCCGAACTTACTATTCACAAGCCAGCACACAGGAAGAAGAACAAAAGGCAGATTTCAATAATGCAGCAAGAGACTGTTTAACTACTTGACTCTGCAAGCTGACTATAGGGACCTGACAAATGATGTGCATAGAAAACTCAATCGCCCTGCTCTAGTTTTAGATTCAAAGTGCCACTGGGAACCAGCTGTGCCGAGTAAAGCCCACACCATATGTGGCGTGATGGGCTCCTACTGCACCCGCTCCAAAATTCACAGACTGATTGGAGAAGAAAAAAAAAAATAGACAGGTCTCTGACTGAAAAGTGTTTTTGAAATGGCTTCTTTTAGAGAATTGTGTTTTTTAGGTAGAGATGCCCTGTTACTTTTAACAAAACACACCTGAGGCAAACCTGTAAATAACAGATGGACAACAGCAGTGATCATCCCTTTAGGCCTTTTAGAACTTTAGCCTGGCAGTCATTAAGTAATAATGTGTAGTGAACTTAAGAGATCCCTGTGTCCCACCACTGTGGATGTGATGCACATATCAAAGTGACCCAGTGAAAACATCTCTCGTTGTGTTGGGTGAAGGTGTTATTATTCATCTGCTTGTCTGAGGGTCTGAGGGAGGCAATGTATCTTTGAGATATGATTAATTTATGTGGGCTACGTCAGGGGACTGAGCATAGCCTATTTTTCAGCTTGACAACTAAACTGAAGGTTTGCTGCTTTGGGGAGTGAACAACAATTCACCTGGGCCTTAAATGGAACTTGGTGCCCAGGCATGAGTATGTGCGCACACAGACAAACACTCACATAAAGCAAAAACAGCCAGACAAACAACAGAGTCACATCGATACATGATTCTGCTCCCATATAAATTGAGACTCATAATGTTATGTATCATTACTGTGGGGAAGACAAGGGAACAGCATTTGAAAAAAATTGCTATGTTGATCTAAAACAAATAAATCTTTAAACTATACTTTATTATATAATAAAAAATGTTCACTGCCTCTCACTTTCTCGCCTAGCAGCTGTCTCTGGGGAGTAATAACAGAGGCTGATATTTTAGATTAAGTCTATGCTTTTTGCATAATTTGCTGAGACCATAACAGTTAGATTCAATGTACTGCTACTTACTCACTTTCAGCCTCAAAGAGAAGAATTCACAGCAATGACCATACTGATGTGTACACTTCATTTGAGAAATCAGAGCATTTTTAAACTCAAAGATGAGAATCTGCAAGGATTCAACAAAAGTGTTAGCAAGTTTAAGAACACTTTGTAACCTTGTAACTTTCTGCAACCTTAATAGCTTACATTAATTGGACTACAAACAGTAAAATAAAAGATAACATTTAAAGCTAAATTTAAATTACAACAAACCTGACCTGGAGATTCTTCCATTGACGCTGACAGGTGCCTTAGGGAGTGCATATGGATGAGTATATCTCATAAATGTGTTGCTGTTCTGAGGTAAAGACCTGAGTGACTTAATGCTTGCCTTCATATCAGTAGCTATTAATTTCCTGTTCTGTGATAAACCAATGTTTGAGGTCTTGCTCTGCTGCAATTCGTTTCCAGTGCTTATTATGTCTTATTTTTCAGACCCCTACCACAAACGCATACTGATAAAGGGCATGTAGGCGATTAAAATGTGTAGCTGTAGCTGCATAATCATTCAGCCCTGTGCCCTCCAAAGCACTTCTTCCTCACTGGGTGTTTTGTGCTCTCATTACTGGTCAGCAACATTTCATAAATCCAATCAGACAAGTATTTTTTTCTCAACACCCAAATCTGTTGTCACTGAGATGCACGATACAGTAAATGAGTACAGATACCACCCAAAAACATCTCTATGCAAAATATTGGCTTTCATACTGAATAACAATTTCACCACCACCACTAGGCTGAATCATTGATACAAGGCAGGATGGATCCATGCTTTCACGTTGTTTACACCAAATTATGACCTACCATCTGAATGTCGTAGCTGAAATAGAGACTAATCAGAGCAGGCAACGTTTTTTTGTTGTCCAGTTATGGTCAGCCTGTGCGAATTGTTGCCTCAGTCTCCTGTTGTTAGCCAACAGCAGTGGCACCTGGTGAGGTCTTCTGCTGCTGTAGCCCACCTGCTTCAAGGTTCAACGTGTTGTGCGTTCAGAGATGGTATTCTGCATGCCTTGGCTGTAACAAGTGGTTATTTGAGTTACTGTTGCCTTTCTGTCATCTCGAACCAGTTTGCCCATTCTCCTCTGATATCAACAAGAAATTTTCATCCACACAACTGCTGCTCACTGGATATTTTCTCTTTTTTGGACCATTCTCTATAAACCCTAGAGATGGTTGTGCGTGAAATAATAATGCCCATCTGGCACCAACAACCATGTGACCTTCAAAGTCACTTAAATCTCGTTTCTTCCCCATTCTGATGCTCAGTTTGGACTTCAGCAAGTTGTCTTGACCAAGTCTATGTAAATGCTTTGCTGCCATGTAATTAGCTGAATATATATAAAATTTAATTTCTCATTTTTGACATACACACACAAACACACATACATTTTAATTATGCTTTAATTACTTGTTTATGGAAATGTATAGGGTTGATTGTTCTTATGTAGTTTGTATGATGCTTTGGCAATATTGTTGTTATACATTCATGACAATAAAGCTAATTTGAATTGAATTGAATTATATATATATATATAGATATATATTTAGCACGCTGGCTTACAATACTAGAGTTTTAGCTTACTCAAGCATTGCTATATTAAGGGAAGGCCTTGTTCTTCAGGGAGCTGTGTGCATGGGTGTATGCATGTGTCTTTGTGTTTGATGCTGTAGCTTTGACAGTGGAAGTAAAATAATACAATTTGACACTTAAGTTGCATGCATAGGAATATTATTGGGACAGTTGTGTGACAACCTTTATAATCCAAATAATTTTTAAATAGCCAATTTGATCATACATTTCAAATTGTGTAGATGATGATGCATTTCTCTAGTGTGAATACCCTGATAAACCTTCAAATAGCATGACTGCCTAAAACTCTTCCCACATTTGTCACAGAAGTATGGCTTTTCTCCAGTGTGGATGTACTGAAGCATCTCCAAGTCCCCTAAGCAACGGAAACTCTTCCCACATTGTTCACAGACATAAGGCTTTTCTCCGATGTGGATAACATTACACTGAGGAATTTTGAATGACAAAGTGAATCGGAAACTCTTCCCACACTGGTCACAGAAGTATGGCTTTTCTCCATCGTGGATACTCTGATGCCTCTCTAAGTCCTGTAAGTGACAGGAACTTTTCCCATATTGGTCATAGACATAAAGGCTTTTCTCCAGTGTGGATATGCTGATGAATCTTCAATAGTATAGGTAGTCTGAAACTCATCCCACACTGGTTACAGTGGTGTGGCTTTTCTACAGTGTGGGTAGGCTAATGTTGATCCAGCTGTCCTCCATTAATACTCTCTTCATCATCATCATGATGAGGTCTATCTAGGTTTGTGCTGGTCTTTTTCTATGAAAAAAAGCAAATGGAGAGGAAAAGAGGATATTAATTGGTAAATGTGCCCTAATTACACGGGAAGAGGTGTCCTGATACAAGCACAAATTGGACATGCAGAAGCAAAAAATGGAGTGGGGGTTCTTTTGTCAAGTCTGTTATTTTCTATATAATGAAACACATTATTATCTAAATCATTCATCAGATTGGAGCTCAGCTGCACTTTGAGCTCAATTTTGAAATCCTGCAAATAGTAACTTTATAATCATTTGAAGGATGCTGCTATAATGTGAGCAGATGGGGATCTGTAGTTTAGATACCAGTAGTAGCTTGTGTGAAGAACTAGCCGGGAAGCTGAAAGTAGTAGATTTTTTTTGCTTCGAATTCAGCCTGCCAGACTAACTACAACTACAACTCAGGTATTTTGACCTCTCTGTAAACTAAACTACTAATATTTTTGAAACAAAGATATTTCTCCATGTGCCACAAATGATTGGCAGTTAAGTTAAATACATCACGGCCCCTAAAACTGAAGAAAAAAAAACGTTGCTGTAGTGACATACTGTTTACATCTTGCTGTTGATTGGATTGCTCCAGATGATTCCAAGCAACCAATATAGAAATTACTACTATCAATGAGGTGTGCCAAACAATTAACTTACATTTTCAAATTCCACACATACTGCAAGTGGCTTTGAATTTAAGGTAACTTACCTCGGTTGATAAACAAATTTTTCTGCTGGTGTTACTCTTTGCTTCAACCATCCGTGAATCAACTCTGACATAATCAAATACAGAGTGTAAGTCGGATAAAAAAAAACCAAAACTGCTATAATAACAGTAATTATGATAAGGCTTAGCTCCCACACACAAATAAACATATCTGGAGTGTGCAAATTCTTTCTTGATCTTCAAAACAAACAAACAAAACAATCACTACTAAGTAGCAACAAGAGAGAAAGTGTAAATCTACGTAGACACTTGCAACTGTGAAAAATAACAACCAACATTGTAGCTTTCGGTGCTTCAGATTTTTAAATAACTGCAACTTTACCTAAAAAAGATATTAATGCCAACAATAAAACAATATTAGTGTGGTTAACTTATATTCTAGTCAGTCTTTCCTTATGCAAAGGAGGATAGGACTCAACTTCACAACAGGACCAGTTAACAATTTACAAAATACATAATGTTAACAAACTCTCAGTTGAAATGAATCAGTTTCTTTCACTACATACCCCTTGTGTAAAATTAATAACAAATAAACTCCCAGTAAACAAACGAAGTCTAGTTGTGCCAGTCAAAATATAGCAGCCAAACAAAGTTTGTTGGCTTTGATCATATAATACTCTTCTAAACTATACATCTACAAATGAATCAGCTGAAGAAAGCTTGTTTTTCTTACCGTTTATGTCTGAATGAAGTTTTAATTGACTTCTGCAGGTTAATGGACGTCTTCACAAAAGATCAGGTTTGACAGATGCACTGATGGTTTCCATGGTAACCAAGGCGGATTCCAATTTCAAAAAAGACGGCATGGAGCGTTATAGTGTATACTATCTGAATCCTGATGGCTTTGCACAGTGATGAACAAAAGTAAATGAATGAATGAATTAAAAATGCAAAATCCCAAATTTTTTATGCAATTTTTATCAGCTTTATTCCAATCACCTAAAGTATGTAAATATAGAAAGTCATATGCATGCTAATATTAAAGGATTGTACAATAGTGTGCTGCCATGCCAATGTTAGCAACACACTAAAGCCTACTTTAGTAAAAAACCCAAAGGCTACAAAGCCACAAAACACAAGCAGTTAATTAGGGGTCCAAGCCCGAATGGGGCTGGGAAACCCAAATGCAAGGCATCGCAGTTCCCGGTACCAGCGGAGCTGTGAACCTTATTGGAATCATTCTGGTTTTTATTATTATTCTTCCGTGAAGAAAACTGATACTGCGGCCTAGACGGTAAGTGCTACAGACACGAAATTCATAGGGTAGGTCCAGGTCACCGCAGGCGCAAAAATCCGCACACTTCTACCTCTAGGTGGCACTATAAGCAAGGTCAACGCGTTTGGGCTTGGAACTCCTGCTCACGAAGGCGGATATCAAAAACCTTACATCGACGTGTTCGGGGGATCCACCTGAATCTTGTGGTATAGGCCATGACCATTTCCGCCTAGACTTTTTTTTTCGCTACATCGCTAAGTCTGAAAAACCTATTTTAATTAACTCCTCCGAAGCCACAAGTCCGATCAACACCAAACTTGGCACGGATAATCTCTGGACCAAGCTGATAAAAGTTTGTAGAGGAACCACAGCCCAATTGTTCAGCATGGTCCCCTTACTACAGGCACCAAAGTTCACTCAAATATGCCCATAGATGGCGCTCTTACTGCAGATTAAAGACGTAAAACAAATCCCATTGACTTACATGCATTTTATATCTCCACAACCACAACTCTGATTGATACCAAATTTGGGTCAACTGTTCCCCATGGGGCTCTGATCACACCTGAAAATTTTGGTGCGATTCGACCAAAAGGTGGCGCTATAATCGAAGCTCAAATACCATCAGACAATCCCATTCATTTCAATGGGATTTTCAACCAAAGTGGGCCTCATAACTACAGCCCACTACATCACACATTCATAAACATTATGTCTATGTGTTTGGGGGATGCTGTCGATTCCGATGGTATAGGACCATCTGCGTGATGACGTTTTCATTTCGCAAAATCGCGAAAACTGGAAAACCTATTTTAATTAACTCCTCTGAGGCCGCAAGTCCTATCGGCACGAACCTTGGCACAGACCATCTCTGGACCAAGCCAAAGAAAGTTTGTAGAGGGAATTTTGATCCGCCACAAAACGGCCAAATTATAAGCCAACACATTTTTGTGCAAACACTAAAAACAGGATTTCATGTCCGATCTTACGTTTGCAATGTCCGATCTACACCAAACTCTGGGACCTTATCTGGCACGCACTCCCGAGGGGTTGTGTGAAATTTGGCGTCAATCAGCCTCTAGGTGGCACTATTACTTGGAAATCAAATAACACTCCCATAGACATTCATTTCAGATCTCCGTAACGGCAAGCCCCTTTCATTTCTAACTCTGCTCATTTATTCTCCACGGGACCCCCGAGCCACGGCGGGACGCCCAGACCGACTCGCTTACCCTAGCGACAAGCAGGCGTGTTCCTATGAAACTGTCACGGTTGTGCTGGTCTCATGCACACGCCAGAGTTGAATAGTCTTGAACTTTTTGTTTGAATGATCCTTGCTGTTTGTGAGTTTCCAGAATCTATTATTGTTTACTAAATAGTTATCAGGACATCAATAGGAGGGATTTTGCATGGCAGAGCATCCCCACAAAACTGAATGTATCTGGTAAAGTTATGTATAATTTTAACTTAAGCTAAATAGGCTGCAGCGGTGTAGCGCACAGAAGCCGTTGCCATGGTTACTAAGCACACAGCGCCTGCCATTTACTCGCAGAGCGCTGGTCTCTGTCTGTTCACATGAGAAGCGCAGAGCAACTCCCCAGGGTCAAGGGTCGCTTCCCGTGTGAAAACACCTTTAAAGCTGCTTGCATGCTGCTCAGACAGCGACCAACTAACACTAACATTCTAAAGTTGGCCGAGGTTGGTTTCAGTCTTTAGAATGTTCAGAAAACCATTTGCGGTTCCACACTGACCAGACAGACTTTTGTTACCTACTTTTTCTTATTTAAGTCTCAAGGTCGAGACTGCAATCACTTTTTGGCAAGTGGAAAACAACTTGTTACTGGGTGTATTTGCCCTTTAAATGTATTTCAACAGGTTAAAAGTACTGGGTGAGCTACATTTAGCCATAACTCATATTCATAGTTTTCACGTGATGTCACATTCCAAGGAAAACGCTCCCTTGGAGGGCAAAAAAGACGTTATTTTGCGCTGCCTGCCAACCAGTAGGCAAGTGATACACGGCGGCAGGGACCTGGCGGCTTTTAACGGTAGAAGTGCGACAGCAAATGCTGTAACATTATATGGATCGGAAGTGCCCAACACTTGCAGTTTGTGTTCATATTTTTCTTTTTCTTAAGTTAAAGGTGATCCAAATAAAATTTGACTGTTTTTACGGCGTCTCTATAGGGGAGTTGCTGTGTGAGCGCTCTAGGTCACCGCGCATGTCACGTGACATACATGAAATCAAATCATTTTGAGAACCTTCCAGTCAGCAGGAGGTGGAACAATTTTTTTGGCAAGTGAAAAACTGCATAGGCTATTGGGGTGTATTGGCTATTTAAACGTATGTCAACTGGTAATAAGGACTGATTTAGTTATACTTTTTGGAAAGAGCAATACTACAAAACTCCACATTTCAAATGGTTATAAAAGGACTGGGTTGGTTGGCACAGAGCAAGCAAAGACTACAGTCTGTTTTCTAGATATAAACAAGGATTTTGAACATAGGCCTACCAAACACAAATGTCATCGGCAACAATAGGCTAATTTTATTGCCTATAATAACGTTTTGTCAGGCCTGATAAACTGCAAACACTTCAACTGTGATTATTCTGTTGCAAGAAACATTAACGTTTCACAAAGACATAACATTGCTACTTATTTGCACATTATGACATGATGTTTGAGACAAAAGCAGCTGTAGATGTATAGATACAGGACGTTACAGCTATAACATGCTGCGCGAGCTCTTGCGGAGGTCAAAGAGTTTTCGGCAGATGATTACTTTTCAGCCCAACACCTGTCGCTTCCTCCTGCGCATGTTCTGATTCAAATTGTGCACGAAGAGGAGAGGCTGTTCGCAGACGGGAGAGAGGAGCAAGAAAAGGACACCTTGGTAACCTACACTGACATCAAAGAAAGTCGTGCGCACTGACGTTCCACATGCGAGTATAGGCTTAGTTGTCAAGGGAATGCTCTTAGAATGTTACGGTTTGTTGAAAAACGGTGCACAATACTCAGTACTTTCTCTGTGAGACGGATCACAGCCCCTTTACACAGAACAGAATTTGCAGTATTAAGTGGAGAAGATCTTTCATTCATGGGAATAGAACCCCAACTCTGCCAGTGGTAGTATTTTGTAGAATTGTGAGCGTGAATGTATTTCAATGGTGGATTTTACTTACCTATAGCCAGCAGCGGTTGGTAGTGGTTGATGTTTTTGGTAGTAAGAGGTGGACACATGCGGATGGCAAATGGTGGCAGCGGCAGACCAGACAGCAGGCCAGTCAGCAGGAATTTTAACTGGACCTCTTGCTGGTTTGATGATGGAGGAGGAGCCTCACCAGCTATCAAGGTCTGGCCTGGAGACAAAACAAAATAAAACAAAACTTTGGTTAGTTTAGTAATGGAGCAATTTAAAAAATATGAAACACAGTAAATATAGTATGCTTAGTATTGCTACTTAACGCGAGAAGTGTCCATTAAATGTCCTCCTTTCTGTTGCATATTTTTGTAATATGAGGAAGAAGAGTGAGGTGACTGAGCTTTTCCTACATTCTGTCTCAGGGGATACAATCAGCAATAAATCAATATTACAACTTTTATAAAATTATATAGAAACAATTTATGTGATTGAAGCTCTAATGAGGAATGTTCAATAAGTCCTTTAATATTGCATGTGTTGATATAACTGTTTCCAATATAATATTGAGGCGTACATTGAGATAGCCAGTGTGAATGAAGTGTGCTTTATGATGATCAGCAATTTTATTCAACGGAGTCTGATGGCTAGTAAGAAACAGCTGTTTTGGGTTAAACAAAAATGATGTCAAGGTTTAACAAAAAGGTCTATCTCTACGGGGATCTTTTCCATAATGTTGTCTTGTTGTACTTTTAGTGGATGTATGCTACTTTGATGGTCGCATTTGTCCACAAGGATTAAGTTGCAGCCATTGCAGCCTGTTTAGCAGCTGCACGCTGAAGCGTAGAGTCAGAATATTTCGGTAAATTAAGGGTTTATTTCGACTAAACCTGAGTTGGTGATCGGAACAGAGAGACTAACAATGATGGCTTTGAGGAGTTTTTTAATACTTTTTGTCCACTTTGAATGAAGTGGGTTTTACAAAAACACCATAAAGGCAAAATGACTCAATTGTGTCTGGTGCGCCATAGCACTTTTTTGTTTTAGTCCGATATGCTGGTGCTTTAGTGAAACATTTGATGGCAGTGAATGTTGCATACAGCTCCCTATAACTTTTTGTACTTGAGTGTGTGTTCTACAGTATTTTGTATAATTTTTATGGAGAGAGCAGTTTCAGTCTGTAAATGTTTAGGGTGGAAGGTCTGGATAGGATTTAGACAGCTACTCTGAAGCAATAATCCTTACGGAAATTTCATTAAAACTGCTGGCAAGAGTTTATTTGACTGTGCCAGTATGAGGTTTACTTGTTTGCAATAATGTGCATTAGGAATTACATTATTTCTACAGAGCACAATCACACAGTTTTCAGATCTGGCATACCTGGAGCATTACAATACAACATCAGACAAAATTAAACACAAACAAATGAGGCACTTAAAACACAAAAAAAGCTACTAACTGAAGCTACCCACCACCACAACATCAATTATTGAACAGCAACAACGGTCAAACTACAAAAATCAGTTTGCTTGGCAATGTTGTTGACTTGCACTCAGCAGCTAGTTTGGTCAGACCATAAAGCTGCTGTTAGTGGCTCGCTGTGCAGTGTGGTGGGGTCCACAGACACTCTTACTATGCTATATGGCACCAAATTACTTCAAAACTGCGATAATATACCGCATTCTGGATACCTATTTGCTACAGAGCAGATCGACCTTACTGATCTAATCCAAAGCTATTCTTTGACTGAGTAGAAACGCTCACACAATTTCACTACAGCTGAAGCCAGCAGAAAATAGCCTGTATTGTTTGTTTCATTAAGCTGCAGCCTCAGTAATCAAGTTGGGCAGTTTTAGTGATCGAATTTAGTGGTGAGTTGAGACAATTAAGCCACAGACCCATGTTTTACACAGCTGTATGTCTAACCTTCATCCAGTTAAATCTATTTTGCTGATTTCATTAGATTTCGAATATCAGGCAGTCCCCATAATTATAAGCCCCGGGTCCTTCAATATTTTCAGTGACCTAAACACACTTTAATTTTAGGGAAGCATTTAGATGGGAAGGCCTTTCACAATCACAGTGTTAATGACTACAGTTTATACTTTCTAAATGGTCAATCATCTCCTTTTGTGTAATTGCTGCAGAGCTATAGGACATCCTCTAAGGGTGCAACAACCTTGAAGTTATAATTGGTACTGGTTGAGAAATCCATTTGGTTTTCATTTCATGCACCATAATAGGCTTATTTGCATTGGAAATGCAATGGTTCTAAAAATGAGCACCAGTGCAGCTTGAAGATATAATACAATGAGATGAAGACATACTTTCAAACAAACCAATAAATCAATAAAAAAACATGATTGCCATGTTTAGCAATTGAAAATATGCAATGAAGGCAAGTATTGCTTTCTAGGCAGCTCTTGCCTATAGCAATGGTCAGTTTGTCTTTGCCCTTCAGATGCCCTTCTTCTGTCAGCCAATCAGCATCAGATTTTAACAACAAGCTAGCTTTTAACAGAATTTTAGCAACCTGCAGGCCAGTGACATTCCCTCATAACAAGAGCTTTACTGTCAGACAGAGCTATTGCTCCAAGCAGTAGCTGGATCCAATCTGTGTGTGTGTGTGTGTGTGTGTGTGTGTGTGTGTGTGTGTGTGTGTGTGTGTGTGTGTGTGCGTGCGTGTGTGCGTGAACAGAAAGCAAAATCCTGCCCTCTTATGCCAGCAGGAGTACTACTGCTCCAGCTACCCAAGGCCTTCTGCTCACTGGCAGTTTGACTCATGGTGAACACAACTGACAAATGTACAAAAAAATTCTGCATCTCATTACTACTTTATAGCAACATTCATCTTTTGATAGGCAGTTCTGTTCTAAATCAACAGGGAGGATGGAGAGAGAGGGGTTGAGTAGAGAAGACTAGAGAGAGAGAAAGATAGGAAAGACACTATAAGCAAATGGATGAGATGGTAAAGAGACAAAAGAGAAAGAGAGGAGGGGCCAAGCACCCATGGGACTCTTTGAGCAGAGCCGCTCAGACTGGGGAATAACGGAATAACACTGGCCTGTGTAGTGCTCAGAGGAGAAACCAGCAGTCATACATTAAAGCAGAAAGTGAAGGCTTGCCCTGAGGCCCACACAACTAACTGAGGTACAATAAAAGATACGCGAAGGCCTCACATATACCGTATAAACACACACACACACTCACATAAAGCATTCATTCATTTTCACATTTGGCTTTCTTTTTATCGGGAGAAAGCTGTTGCTGCAACAAGAAGCAATATATGTGACATTAGGCCTTAGAAAATGTTGACACCAACATGTCTGGTGCTCGCTTTGGTGTTAATAGTGATGTGTACAATCGTACCGATCATGCTGTTGAGAGAGAGATCCTGGATCCTCTTCTGGTTTGGGCCCAGTGGAGCTCCACAAAATGACACGGGGGAGTACAGCGGTGAAAGACACGAACTGACACAGAGAGGGGAGAGAATATTAATTAAATACAGTGTGAAAGCAGTGCACACATGAGTTATTGAAACCAAGTGAATGGGGAGTGATAAATGAAGATTGCTTGTGTGGATGATGAATGTAATCCGCTTTTTAATAACTGACTACACCAGAGAGAGACAGCAGCATTCCTAGAGGATGACATGTATACTGATCCTTGTATTGATTAGATGCCGCTCAATAAATAAACAGATTATTCCTAGAAAAAAATATTTTTATGACTGCTGGAAACTTTGATGTGAACCAAACAGGTACAGCAGAGTGAAATATCCCACACTGAATAACTCATCTTAATTTATGTCTGTGCTCAGCACACCGTGACACAGCTTCAGGGAGAGAAAGTAACAGGAATAATAATTCATGTCAGTGAAAACCAAACCATCTTTTTAGGATTTGTTTTGGCTTTCAAATTGGAACTTTGAGCACAAGAAAGCATCGGATTATCAATTTAGTATGGTATGAAAGACAAATGCCATGATCTGAATAGTCCTTAAATAGAAAGCCTGAGCCTATAATAAGACAATTTATCACTAAGTCGCAAAAAGCAAAAACATGCCATTTCACTTTAATTCAATGCGGCTGAGCTCTCTTCACGTCTGCTCAAAATAAATTCTGGTTTGGGTTTGCTCACAGGCTGACAAACCTCTCTCTGCCTCACACAGGAAGCCAACTTAAGAGAGAAATACAAAACTGTCTCCTCGACAGCAGCAAGGGAGTGCTCCATCAAAGGGAAGCAGGGCTTATCAACGATAGCTAAACTGTGCACCCCATACCTGCACTAGTGCCTAAGACGACTAAATTTAGGTCAGAGGATTATGTAGTTTAAAGTCAGTTTACGTCACCTTATAAAGTATTCAAATTTTTTACCATTACCTCTCCCTGCCATTTCAGCCACCACTTAAAACACTGTATATATATCTCTGCAGAATTATCTGTGAGTGTATACCTGGGATTGGCAGCAGTCCTGCCTGTGTGGGCTTTGAGCTCCCACAGCATGGCTCTGCCGTCGCTGACCATTAGCGCAGCGTTGTTTTCGTTGACGGGGCAGATAACCATGCGATAAGGCCTGACTGTCTTGGTGACTCGGATGGCATCACACTGAGAACGCAGGTCGTACACCAGCTCGTGGACACTCTGCTCGGGGTCTGAGGGATGGAAAAATAAAGGGTAAAGAGCCAAAGAGACGATGGGAGAGTGGAAAAGAAAGAAGAGGGGAGATAACAAATAAGATGAAATCAGCAAATCAATTCCGCGTTAATGGAACGGGACAAAAACAAGGAGGAAAAAGGAGAATATGTGGGAGAAAACATTGAGTAGATGTAAATAATAAAGGGAATAGAGACAGAAAGGGGAAGGGAAGTAGATAAGAGTAGGATAAAATTCAACTGAAAGACAGCTTAAGACAATTTTTGAGTAAGTGTAAGAGGAAAGAAGAGGAGCAGAATAGAGAGATAGAAGGCAAGATTTTAGAAGATACGAACCGAAGACAGGAAATTAGTGTGAGAGACTGAAACGGAAATGCCAGG